GAAGGCGGAGATTCCCTAATTCCCCGATAATAGAATTTTAAAGATATAAGGGAATATATAAAACAAGCTAGGATTTATTCAGGAATATGTGGAGCTACGTTGTAGATAAAATTGAAGCTGCATAAATGCTTGAAAATGTCTCGTTTTGTTTTAAATTAGACTCAGGTATGACCTAGAAGTCAAAGTATCACTGTATTGGCCCCCTTGTAGAGGGCTCTATTATTGTTTTGAGAGTATGTAGTCTCCAGTTATTCTGTCCTTGACACTTCCCACACTCCTTCCATCCCCATCTCCACCCTCACAACACATATATATACATACATACATATACACACATACACCCCACACCTCCCACCTTCCTGTTTGCAATTCTAGTCCTTAAGGTTCTGAGTCAAAAAGAATATTAAGGGTAGAATAGGTATCTACACTTAAAAGCTTTTTGTATTGACCATTTAATAGACATTTACAATGATTTAGGGAAATGGCGAAATAATCTGTGTAGTACTCTTGTGGGTGTCAGGGCATTACGAATTAGACAGAAATGAAGGGGGAGCAATGGAAATCATTCTCAAGGCAGGACAGTCATTTAGACATCACAGTGCTAAGGCACCGATTTCTAATTATAGTCCCTGCAGTCTGGGGTGGGGTGTAGACATAGCCCCATTATGTCAGTGTTAATTGAAACCATGAGAATGCAACTCTCTTTGGCGGAGGAGCTATTAATTTTCACGGTGCATGTAACCACTTGTGCATTTCTGAAAGACCACAACAGACTTCACCCTTCCAGGCAAAACTGCTGCCACACGCAGGTAAATAAGAAATGTATCATGAACCATGACAAGTAAAGATGGAATAAGTAATACAAAGATGTGCAGTACCAGAGTATTCTGAAACCATCTGTTCCTAATTAAATGGACTTTTCTAAAGTTTGAACTGCAAGGTTCAGTGGGGTAAGCTGAAATCACTGGATGTCTGTGCCCAGAAAAACTGAAGCAAGGCAAGTATACTTCAACTAAGAAGCGACTTTCTCTCTTGAAGTTAAGCTTGCTGGTGCTAATGGCCTTTAAAAAGCTTAGTGATAATCAAACCATTACTCAACATATAACCGCAACCCTTTTGCTGCAAAAGTAAACTGGGAAAGCAGGGAATCCACTCACCAAGAGAAAGTGGGAACGTCTCTGAGTTAAGTAGGCAATAACTCACCCCAAGACCACAATGGTTTTCATATTTGACTTTAAAGACCTCTTTGTAGATGAAGTGGGTGAGGTGGTTCTCTTTAATTAGGAACTACAGTCTCCATCCTGAAAGGTCTTTTTCAGGCCCAGGGTAATTAATTAACCCTACTGGACACTGAAAGAAGGAACATTTATTTCTTGTCCTGCTCTAGTTCCACCTGCAAACGACACGTGGACAACAGTTGGCAGGGGTGGGAATCCATATGAAAAAAAACATTGCTTGGGTCCCCAAACTGCTAGAGCTTATTTTATTAATCAAATGTAGATCTCTCAACATGTTCAATTTGAAATATGTGATCCATAGTCAGGTCATTCATTGTCTTCCTCACACCACTGTCCCTTTTGTGCCCTAAAACAAAACTTCTGTTTAACTGGTAGTCATACTCCAACAACTACTGCAATGAGTATTTTTTCAAATGTGCAAGTATTCTTTTGCATACTGCTAAAAGGAGACATTACGTAGATGACCGACTGTTACATAATTGGTGTTTTGGCACCTTTAGACACTGATTTGATGTTTGAGTGTCTTATTATTATGTCATTTAGATATAACTCAACTTAGTCGAAGGGTTTGATTGCAAGTCAGTCCTGAAGTCGAGAAGAATCTCAGTAGTGAAGCAAAACATTATTTTTCGAAGTTTCCAATTACAAACACAACATTTAAAATACTCATACACTAATACTCTCCACTAAGCAACCAGCAAGTAAAGGGAGCCCTATAGCTTGTATTCATTGTATTCTTATTTAATGATGCAAATATCTCTTAGGTGGATATGAGCATACAGGGAATATAGAATAGGGATCAACTGTCAAAAAATGTAGGGTCATATTTAGAGAGCAGCTTTCTCAAACAACTTGACAAACCTAAGGTACACAGAAATTTCTTTCTTGCTTTATAAAAATTCATACCAAAAGCAACATTGGAAATTGTGATGATTTCATTTTGGGTCACATACCCTTTACTGCATAGCAAGGAAGCACTGTCAATCTTCTTCATTTCTCGCAGTTGAATTCTGAGAACCATGTCAGGCAGAATGCAACATACAACTGCTTATTTCTCCCTATCTTGGGAGGGGGGTATTCTTGACATGGACTATGGCAAGCCTTCTAGCCCTCTTAGACCCTGCAGTGAATCTTCCAACCTGGAAGGAAGTCTCTAAAGGGCTTCCTTGTTTCAACCACCGCCTTCCCCCTCCCATTAGGAGTTCTGGAATCTCAGTTCTCTAAAGGGGCCCCAACCTTGCCAAGTGAGGCTAACACAAGGCAGGCTTGAGTCAGCCTGGTCCTTCTCAAAGGGAGGAGGGGATGCTTAAGTAAAGAGACTACCTTCAAACACTTGCAAAGAAAGGGACTTCGAGTCCTTGCCTTTCTTTTTGGCACCAGTGTGCATACATGTACACAAACACACAGATGTTCAAACCACACAGCAGAGCCTTTCTGCCTATTCAGCTAAGGATAAATGCGAGGAATTGTTGAAGGAGGGCAGATGTGTTAGGGGAACTATGTATGATGTAGTTAACTTTGATCTGGATTAACTGTGCACTGTTTAGGGACTCTGACATGAGCATCTCCAAGGTTAATCATGGTTGATGAGGCTGGCATCAGATTCAGGCATCAGATTCCTTAATTATTACTCCTTTAATTATAACCACCATCTCCCCACTTGCTCCCACCTGCCCCTCATACGCCAATACTTTTTTTTTGCAGATTACAATGGAAATATCAGGAGGGAAAGGAGTGAACAAAACATGCTGTAAAGAATTGTTTCCTGATAGTTTATGGCCAGGAGCTGAATGAGAACAAACAAAACTGTAACAGTGAGTGCCACCAATCAGCTAATACTTCTATCAGCCAATTCTAACAGGAAACATCAAGAAGCACCTAATTTTCATAACACACACTTCTTTGGAATCTTTATCTTCATGCTGGTAAATATATGTTTCCTCTCTAACTAGGGTGACCATGAATCCTGGTCTGCCCAAGATAGTCCTGGTTGCTTATTAAAAAACAGTGGCACATATTGTGGGGATGCTTGTTATTAAGCACTTCCTGGTTTGAGCAATAAATTACATGGTGACCCTAACTCTACATGAACTCTCTAACAGGCAATCAGATGGATACTTCAGTGTTGGCATCGCTGTCCAGATTTCCTCCAGGCCTCAAAACAACCTAAGCAGAAGGTGCTGTACTTATGTGTCTGGACTTTTTAGCAATGGACTCAAATTTGGCTTTTCCTTTGAGGACCTAATGGAACAGCACTAAGATCAGTCAGGCAAAGTTAACTTTGCTCCAGAATATTCTATTTCTTCACTGGTACTGAGTCACAGAAGGGTAGGCCTTTTCAAGAAGTTTTCAAATTTTGTCTTTGGTGGGGTGGGGAGTGAAGGAGCCACAGAAACTTTTCCCCCTTGAAATCTTGCTCAAAACCCTACTAAAATACTGACTACTACATAAAAAATAAACAAGTTTCTTCTATATAGCACAGGGAACTAACTATATTCAATATCTTGTAGTAACCTATAATGAAAAAGAATATGAAAATGAGTATATATTTGTATATATATGACTGAAACATTATGCTGCACACCAGAAATTGACACAACATTGTAAACTGACTATACTTCAATTAAAAAAATGGAAAAAAGTAATAAAAAAATTCGATAAACAAGGACCTACTGGGACCTCCTATAGCAGAGGGAACTATATTCAATTTCTTATAATAAGCTATAATGGAAAAGAATCTGAAAATATATATGTATATGTACAACTGAATTGCTTTGCTGTACACCTGAAACCAACACTGTAAATCAACTACACTTCAATAAAAAACAAAGGTAAAAAAAGCCCCTACTACATAAAAGTGAGAAAAGCCAAGCTTCTTTGGTGCAGCCAGGAGGTCAAGGCACAGATGAATGTCTCATCCACTAGAAGAACCTGTATCTCCCTTGCCCGTCCTCAAGGAGGGCCCTGAAACACCTCCTTAGCTGGCTCCAGAGAACTCAAGTCGGAAAACTACTGGTTTAGTCCCATTCCTTTCATTTACAAATGGGGAAAATGTGGTTCATTTCATCTGCTCTTTCCCACGTATTACAATTTGATTCTCTCTCCTGGTAATTCTGCAAGCAAAGCCCTTAGTCGAGAGCAGGTGGTCCACATTAATTGCCATAGAAAGCTCTGTCTTCTAAAGGGCCCTGAGCACACCTTATAACAAGAAAACAAATACTTTTCTAGACTGTAACTAGCAGACTCAAACAGAGTCACTCATAACAACCAAATGTGGAGCCTATCTGTATCTGTTTCTTTCTCCGGAGGAAAAGTAGAATAGGAGATGAAAAAAATATGGAGTTTTTTTTTTAATTGAAGTATAGTGAGTTACAATGTGTCAATCTCTGGTGTACAGCATAATGTCCCAGTTGTGCATATACATATAATCATTGTCATATTAAAACATGGAGTTTTAAATCTATTTTTAAAATTCAGGTTCCAAAGTGAACATATATCCTGCTTCTAATAGCTACCAAGGAAATCACTGAAAAGAATGATGGTGACATATGAAGATGTCCATCACAGTTCTGTTTATAACCATATAATGCACACGCATCAAGACAAAGTGTAGGAGAGAAGAGAGGGGAAAGATAGAACAGAAAAGAAAGAGGACTGTTACTGAGGCAATGAATTCTAATGATTTATCTCTCTCTGCCTCCCCGACTTTCTTTTAATATGAAACCAAACCAAACCAAAACACAGAATGCAAAGAGCGCTTACCACCGAGACTTTGCTCACTACATCTCTTGCCACCGCTAAGCCCTGAGCAAAAGTACGGGCTGCCACAAATGCACGAGTAACCTGGAGCTTCAGCTTCCGAGGGACGTCTCCAAAGGGCTTCAGCTGCTCCGTGTACTTGCTCACGCATTCCAGATACTCATCTGTAAAGTGGTACTGGGAGTTCACCAGGCGGAACATCCGCTCCAGAAGGCGAGCCCAGAAGTCATTGAGCATTTCCTCCAGGTTCACATTTCCCACCACGTAGTAGCGCTTCAATTCTTCGAAGAGATCTTTAAATAGCTCAGAATTCTGCATGTATAAGCGGCCGTAAGTCTTCACAAACATGTCATTCAGGGATTTCTCCGCATTTTCAAGTAGTTCTTTGAAGAATTCTAAAAACAACCCCCCCAAAAAAAGACAGAAAAAAAAAAGCGCTCTTAGTCATTAAATAATGGAGTGATTTTCACGTACATTTGAAAACTGGGGGAAAAAATCATGAAATTAAATTGGAAAACATGCTTGTTTCTGGGGAATTTGGCAGCTCTGATGGTTTGACAATGAAAGGAAACCTATGTCACAAAGTCACTTACATATGTATCTATGTCTAAGGGGGGGGGAATGAAATTTTAAACCAGTGACTTCTCAGGAACCAATATAAAACTGTGTCCCCGTCCCTTTCCTGTTCCCTCTGTTCCTCTCTCCTTCAGTCACAAGGTAAAGAACTGGATAAAAATGAATGCCAAAAACACGAGGTTTCCCAGAACTTTTCACTACAAGAATCTGAACCAAAGTTATTAATGCCTTCTAACTGTAACCTGGTCCCAGGACAAGTGTTCTCGGTGTTCTCCAAAGGTGCTGTTTTACTTAGACATGATTGTTTTTTCTTTTCCCCTCCTTACATCTACATGACATATCAGAAAACTGCCTGGGAAATGCTTGAGGCCAAGAAACATGATGAAACACTCCCCACAATCAAGAAAATAAGTTCTCAGATGTTCCCTGTGACATTTGTACAAATTGGGGTGTCCAGGGTGACCTCGAGTTCCTACAGGATTCATACGGTCACATCATGAGATTCTTTCCAGTCTCCCTTGAGAGAGAGAAATGAAATGATTAACAGATTCAACTACAGATTTGATGTATTTATAAGACAGCAAGGAAAAATAACTGGAAAAAAAAAACAACACCTGTTTTTTCTTTCAGGTTTACTTTCCAGTCACCACATACTCACACAGACTAAATGTTTAAGACTTTAATCTCTTAAATACAAATGAGTTCGTCCTGAAGCTTTCCTCAAAAAGTTCAATGAAGAGAGGGGGCTAACGGTGTATCTGTAATATTAATCACTGTTCAAAAATCTAAGTCTGGTATGAAAATAAACACCTCAGGATACCGAGTTTGTAAGCAGGAAATGTAACAAATACCAAAGCAAAATATAAGGACCACATCAGGAAAGCAACCGCCTCGAAGTGAACATGGAACAAAACAGAAAACACGACGCCCCCTTGAAAGCCAGGACATCGGCCAGCCTGCTGAAATGCCGCAGCTCCACAGAACCATTCTCCTCTCACACGGGGTGGGCAGATCGGAGGCTGGCAAGTCATTCCAAATAGTTTCTCAAAACCTGGACTGAATCCCCGAAGCTTGGGGCCGAAGTCCACGCGTAGTCCTCGGGGGTCCAGCTTTTGAAACGATGTGTTTTGTGTGCGTGTCTGTGTGTGTCTGAGGGAAGGCGCCCTCTCCTTTTCCTTTTGTTTACTTTTTCTTTCTCCTACCGTTTGCCTTTTATTTCCTGGCCTTTCTTCAGAGAAAGGGAAATTCCCATTACAACTGCACAGCCTGGCATTTGTACCCAAGTTTTCTCCCTGGAAGAAGACCAGAAAGTACACAAGGAGGCGAGGGGAACCACATGAAAAGAGCTGCGCAAACCAGGTACCTGGGAAGGCCTGTGAGTCTCTCCCAAATCCCAAGTGGTCCTAAGTGTGGTCCCACGTGACAGGCAAGTACCAACATCAATCACCAGAACCCAAGCTCTTGGATCCGACCCTAAAATCTACTGGATCAGAAACCCTGGGGGTGGGGTCTAGCCATGTGGGACTCCGCTCTACCTGAAGGATTGAGAACCAAGACTCTAGCCAATGAAGCGTCTCCCATTTTACCTCTCACTAGCAACCAGCTAGTGAGATGGGCTGAATGTGAAGCATTCAGGGTAAGCATTAATGTTTTAATTAAGGGAAAATAGATTTCCAATAAATCGGGTTTTTAAAAACCTGTGTTGCATTCTTTGGTGTCATTTCTTGAAGATATTTTGGGGGTGAATTTCCTTGTGTAGAAGAGTGTCTGAACTAAGAGTCAAGATGCAGGTAGCACTTTTCTGGAATTCAAAGTTGGGGAGTCTCAGGGTGAGAAAAGACCTTAAATGTCACCTGGTCCACTTGCCACACCACGCTTGAATCACTGGCATCCTTGCCAGGCGGTGCTGGCTCCTCGAGGACATGAAAGAAGGCACACCAGGTTGTGTTATGACACGCCCAGTGTGTGGCCCAAATCGCTCTCCCGTATTGGAAAAAGAAAGCCTGGTCACGGAGATGAACATGGAAGCCTTGCATCAATCCAGTGCTACTAATACTTTACCATCCAAAAGAGCAGATTCCGAAGGCAAACTTAGGTCCTTCCCTATCTTGGATTTTTATTATATCACTCATAAAATTGGCACACATCATTGAGTATAGAAACGGGATGTTGAGAATTATTTGACTTGTGCTTTCATGACTCATTAAGTAAGTAATTCTGAATACTCACTTGCATTTCTAATGAATGGCACCTACAGTTGTGCCGTTTTTAAGGATGGAGCCAGAGTGGCATGTCAAGCTTACTTTTAATTGAAAATGTCTATGAAATGTCAGAGTTCATCCTTTAGGCTTCGAAAGTCCTCCAGGTCAAAGAAACATAAAAAATTTTAAAAAAGAAAAGGAAAGGAAAGAAAAGAAAACATTCTTAGGAGTTCTTCATTTAGGTCAAAAGCCTATGGGTTGGGTCTAGGTATATAAAATACAGCTACTTTGGAGTATAGGAGGAATGACCCAACGATCCATTGAAGAACAGGATGGATTTCAACTCCGCATGCCCTCTATCCAATACTTCCATGGACCTTAGTCTATTTCCTGGGAATCAAGTTCTGTATAGGGAGGTTTTGTGTGTGTGTGTGTGTGTGTGTGTGTGTGTGATGTTAGCTTATATTTAAAGAGCTTAGCTTGGAGCTATATACGTACTAAATTCTAATTCATTTAATCATTCAGAAAATTAATTACCTTTCCTTTATGTTTTAAAAGATTCTTTAGCATGGCCATATAAGTGGCAAATATAAAGATTCTTTGAGAGGATTATATATAGAAATTCTATAAAACTGATATAAGGAGTTTAAAATCTGGTAATTCAATCTCTCCAAATGGCAATGCGATTTGACGAGTATGTACTGAGTGGGTGTTATGGGCTCAAATCAAAGCACACGGTTTTACCATATGTCTTACCTTTCTCCTATCCAATCCGAATGAAATGAAACTTTCTAGAAAGACCAATTTTCTCCATCCAATTCACCTTTACTATACCGCCACTTTCCACACACTTTGACAGTTTTATGAGTGAACCAGAGATTTTTAAAGCATCTATAAAACCCTTAATCCTTCATTTCCGAAAGCAAGTTTTTAAATATTCATCTATTTCACCTACAGAAGTCAACAGAACAAAAGTCGAGGGATCTAAAAAACTCCAACTCATTTCTCCTTAGACTTGTCCTTGCTGCCCCTGTTAAATGGGACTATTCTACCTCTGCTTCTTGCCTCAGAGGCCTTTTAAGGATGGCAGACATAATTTAAATTCTAAAATCCATACCACTGAGGTACAGTATCAACCGAAGCATAGTAATTGGCTGTAAGGGAAAAAAAAAAGGTTGGGGGGGGGACCTTTTGCATCTGTTCGTCTTATCAAAGGCACAGCTCTGATATGTTCTTGTGTAATTCCTTCACATCCCCATGCCCTTTTTTCCTCCCATGACATTTCCCTCTACAATGGGGAACAGAACACAAATGAGACATTCAAGACCTGGTCTCCAGCTACAAATCGCAACTTCATTAATCAGTGCTCATCTCCACTTTTTGCCCCATTATTCAGAACTCAGATTCAGACCATAACTGCTGAGGAAAAACTGTGTAGGCCTGACACATCTAGCAATCATCCCTAAATAAACATTACGCCTGAAGCCAATGATAAGACACTTGATGGCTAAGAGAGAAGCGGCCAGCTGCAGTGTAAACCAGAGCTCCCCAACGATCAGAAGCTGAGTTAATTGGAAATTAGATCTCCCTTGCAGCAACTGCCTGTATTCATGAAAACTGCTGCTCAGGGAGTCTGTTTTAAGTTGACGCTATTGGTGTCTTGAAAGAAGAGTCAGAGAGGAGACAGTTGATGAGCATTTGAAATATGGTGTCTGTGATCAGGATTTACTTCTTCAATTTTCAGTTTGGGGGCTTAAGGATTTATGCTCAATAGGATCAAGCAACCCGGTGCTACTGCTAGGACTCATGAACAATCACTGAACATAGGAATGGAAATAGACACTGTAACACACCAGGATCTAAGTGACACAGCATGACACAGTGGGAAAAGTATGGGATGTCTCATTTATGAGCTGGGTGACCTTGACTGGCCAGAAGATGTGAGCCTCTGTTGCTCCATCCATTAAATGGGGCTACTACTGCTCACCTCATATGAATAATGCCTGGCACTCAACAAATGCCCAATAAATGGACACTATTCATAATATGTGAGATGTTATTGCCACCTTCAGAGCTTCTTTAGGTCTACAGCCGTTAAGAAAAAAATCTTCCAAGGCTGGTTTTTATCTTTCCTGGCAGAGTCATATATTACCCATCTGGGGGAACATAAATTAGGCCTAAGCTGCTGGAGATTGGGTAAGAAGACCCGAGGCCTTATAAACCTGGGAGCAGTTTATCCAAAGGAAATACTCCATGGAGCTAATTTCCAAGGCCATGAAATGTCCCAGACATCTACGAGGGTGGAGAGACCCCTGAGTGAAAACCATGAAATAGAGAAACCTCAAGCCAGGGAAGAGATTTTACATGATATTAAAGGAGAGTATCATACACAGTACATGTATTTAAAAAGATCAAGGCAAAGAATTAGGGAAAGGAAAATTAAGAATTAAGCCGCAGGGCACTGCCCTGCCCTCCCCCTGTGTTTCATGGACATACTACCTTCTTCGCCAGAAGTCAGCTCAGTGCAAGGTTTGAGCTAAGAGACGGGGAGACAGCGAGTATTTTCCAGCGCTAAAATGTGATCATTCTTAATGTCAGTAGTACCAATTTAACATGGG